ACATGACACAAACTCAAGTTCAACTAAAACACAAACTCAAGTTTAACAATTGCCACAACCTCAAGTTCAACAAATTCCACACCCTCAACTTCAAAAAAACCACAAACTCAAGTTCAACAACACCACAAACTCAAGTTCAAACATGACACAAACTCAAGTTCAACAAAAACCACAAACTGAAGTTCAGACACCAAACTCAAGTTAAAAAACACCACAAACTCAAGTTCAACAAATTTCACAAACTCAATTTCAACAAAAAACAAAATCAAGTTCAAACACAACACAAACTCAAGTGCAAACACGATACAAACTCAAGTTCAACAAACACCACAAACTCAAGTTCAAACACGAAACTCAGGTTCAAAAACACCACCAACTCAAGTTCAAAATGACCACAAACTCAAGTTCAACAAACACACAAAATCAAGTTCAAAAACACCACAAACTCAAGTGCAAACATGACACAAACTCTAGTTCAACAAACACCACAAACTCAAGTTCAAACCCAACACAAACTTAAGTTAAAAAAACACACAAACTCAAGTTAAAACATGACACGAACTCAAGTTCAACAAAAACCACAAACTCAAGTTCAAACACAAACTCAAGTTCAGAAACACCACCAACTCAAGTTCAAAAAGACCACAAACTCAAGTTCAACAAACACACAAAATCAAGTTCAAAAATACCACAAACTCAAGTTCAACAAACACACAAACTCAAGTTCAAAAACACCACAAAACTCAATTGCAAACACAACACAAACTGAAGTTCAAACACAAAACAAACTCAAGTTCAAACACGACACAAACTCAAATTCAGCTAAAACACAAACTCAAGTTTAACAATTGCCACAACCTCAAGTTCAACAAATTCCACACCCTCAACTTCAAAATAACCACAAACTCAAGTTCAAAAACACCACAAACTCAAGTTCAAAATCGACAAAAACTCAAGTTCAACAAAAACCACAAACTGAAGTTCAAACATGAATCTCAAGTTCAGAAACACCACTAACTCAAGTTCAAACACAACACAAACTTAAGTTAAAAAACACACAAACTCAAGTTTAAACACGACACGAACTCAAGTTCAACAAAAACCACAAGCTCAAGTTCAAACACGAAACTCAAGTTCAAAAACACCACCAACTAAAGTTCAAAAAGACCACAAACTCAAGTTCAACAAAGACATAAAATCAAGTTCAAAAACACCACAAACTCAAGTGCAAACACAACACAAACTCAGGTTCAACAAACACCACAAACTCAGGTTCAACAAACACCACAAACTCAAGTTCAAACACGAAACACTCTCAAGTTCAAACATGACACAAACTATAGTTCAACCAACAACCAAATCTCAAGTTTTACAATTGCCACAACCTCAAGTTTAACAACCACACAAACTCAAGTTCAACAAACACCACAAACTCAAGTTCAAATATGAAACAAACTCATGTTCAAAAACAACACAAACTTAAGTTCAACAAACACAAAAACTCAAGTTCAAACACGACACAACTTCTAGTTCAACTAAAACAGAAACTAAAGTTTAACAATTGCCACAACCTCAAGTTCAACAAATTCCACACCCTCAACTAAAAAAAAAACACAAACTCAAGTTCAAATACGACTCAAACTCAAGTTCAACAAAAACCACAAACTCAAGTTCAAACACAAACTCAAGTTCAGAAACACCACCAACTCAAGTTCAAAAAGACCACAAACTCAAGTTCAACAAACAAACAAAATCAAGTTCAAAAACACCACAAACTCAAGTGAAAACATGACACAAACTCAAGTTCAACAAACACCACAAACTCAAGTTTAAACACAACACAAACTCAAGTTCAACAAACACACAAACTCAAGTTCAAAAACACCACAAACTCAATTGCAAACACGACACAAACTCAAGTTCAAACACAACACAAACTTAAGTTCAAAACAAACACAAACTCAAGTTAAAACATGACACGAACTCAAGTTCAACAAACACCACAAACTCAAGTTCAAACACAACACAAACTCAAGTTCAACAAACACACAAACTCAAGTTAAAAAAACCCACAAACTCAATTGCAAACATGACACAAACTCAAGTTCAACAAACACCACAAACTCAAGTTCAAACACAAAACAAACTCAAGTTCAAACACGACACAAACTTAAGTTAAACAAACACAAAAACTCAAGTTCAAACACGACACAAACTTAAGTTAAACAAACACAAAAACTCAAGTTCAAACATGACACAAACTCAAGTTCAACTAAAACACAAACTCAAGTTTAACAATTGCCACAACCTCAAGTTCAACAAATTCCACACCCTCAACTTCAAAAAAACCACAAACTCAAGTTCAACAACACCACAACCTCAAGTTCAAACATGACACAAACTCAAGTTCAACAAAAACCACAAACTGAAGTTCAGACACCAAACTCAAGTTAAAAAACACCACAAACTCAAGTTCAACAAATTTCACAAACTCAAGTTCGACAAACAAACAAAATCAAGTTCAAACACAACACAAACTCAAGTGCAAACACGATACAAACTCAAGTTCAACAAACACCACAAACTCAAGTTCAAACACGAAACTCAAGTTCAAAAACACCACCAACTCAAGTTCAAAATGACCACAAACTCAAGTTCAACAAACACACAAAATCAAGTTCAAAAACACCACAAACTCAAGTGCAAACACGACACAAACTCTAGTTCAACAAACACCACAAACTCAAGTTCAAACACAACACAAACTCAAGTTCAACAAACACACAAACTCAAGTTAAAACATGACACGAACTCAAGTTCAACAAAAACCACAAGCTCAAGTTCAAACACAAACTCAAGTTCAGAAACACCACCAACTCAAGTTCAAAAAGACCACAAACTCAAGTTCAACAAACAAACAAAATCAAGTTCAAATATACCATAAACTCAAGTGCAAACATGACACAAACTCAAGTTCAACAAACACAACAAACTCAAGTTCAAACACAACACAAACTCAAGTTCAAACACAACACACAAACTCAAGTTCAAAAACACCACAAACTCAAGTGCAAACACGACACAAACTCTAGTTCAACAAACACCACAAACTCAAGTTCAAACACAACACAAACTTAAGTTAAAAAAACACACAAACTCAAGTTAAAACATGACACGAACTCAAGTTCAACAAAAACCACAAGCTCAAGTTCAAACACAAACTCAAGTTCAGAAACACCACCAACTCAAGTTCAAAAAGACCACAAACTCAAGTTCAACAAACAAACAAAATCAAGTTCAAAAATACCATAAACTCAAGTGCAAACATGACACAAACTCAAGTTCAACAAACACAACAAACTCAAGTTCAAACACAACACAAACTCAAGTTCAAACACAACACACAAAGTCAAGTTAGAAAACACCACAAACTCAATTGCAAACACAACACAAACTCAAGTTCAAACACAACACAAACTTAAGTTAAAAAAACACACAAACTCAAGTTAAAACATGACACAAACTCAAGTTCAACAAACACCACAAACTCAAGTTCAAACACAACACAAACTCAAGTTCAACAAACACACAAACTCAAGTTCAAACACAAAACAAACTCAAGTTCAAACACGACACAAACGCAAGTTCAACTAAAACACAAACTCAAGTTTAACAATTGCCACAACCTCAAGTTCAACAAATTCCACACCCTCAACTTCAAAATAACCACAAACTCAAGTTCAAAAACACCACAAACTCAAGTTCAAAATCGACACAAACTCAAGTTCAACAAAAACCACAAACTGAAGTTCAAACATGAATCTCAAGTTCAGAAACACCACTAACTCAAGTTCAAAAAGACCACAAACTCAAGTTCAACAAACAAAATAAATCAAGTTCAAAAACACCACAAACTCAAGTGCAAACACGACACAAACTCAAGTTCAACAAACACCAAAAACTCTACAGTATTATTTTGGTGCGGCCTTGTGAGGCTCATTTCAAAACGCTACATATATTTTGGTGCGACCGTGTGACCGTGCGAACCGTTACAGGTGTTTTTGAACTTGAGTTTGAGTATGTTTGAACTTGAGTTTGTGCTTGTTGAACTTAAGTTTGTGTTGTTTTTGAACATGAGTTTGTTCACGTTTGAACTTGAGTTTGTGGTGTTTGTTGAACTTGAGTTTGTGTGGTTTTTAAACTTGAGGTTGTGGCAATTGTAAAACTTGAGATTTGGTTGTTGCTTGAACTATAGTTTGTGTCATGTTTGAACTTGAGTGTGTTTCGTGTTTGAACTTGAGTTTGTGGTGTTTGTTGAACTTGAGTTTGTGTCGTGTTTGCAATTGAGTTTGTGGTGCTTTTGAACATGACTTTGTGTGTTTGTTGAACTTGAGTTTGTGTTGTGTTTGAACTTGAGTTTGTGGTGTTTGTTGAACTTGAGTTTGTGTCGTGTTTGCACTTGAGTTAATGGTGTTTTTGAACTTGATTTTGTGTCTTTGTTGAACTTGAGTTTGTGGTCTTTTTGAACTTTATTTGGTGGTGTTTTTGAACTTGAGTTTCGTGTTTGAACTTGAGTTTGTGTCGTGTTTGCACTTGAGTTTGTTTTGTGTTTGAACTTGATTTTGATTGTTTGTTGAACTTGAGTTTGTGGTTTTTGTTGAACTTGAGTTGGTGGTGTTTCTGAACTTGAGTTTCGTGTTTGAACTTGAGTTTGTGGTTTTTGTTGAACTTGAGTTTGTGTTGTGTTTGAACTTGAGTTTGTGGTGTTTTTGAACTTGAGTTTGTGGTTTTTTTTAAGTTGAGGGTGTGGAATTTGTTGAACTTGAGGTTGTGGCAATTGTAAAACTTGACTTTCTGTTTTGGTTGAACTTGTTTGTGTCGTGTTTGAACTTAAGTTTTTGTGTTTGTTGAACGTAAGTTTGTGATGTTTTTGAACATGAGTTTGTTTCATTTTTGAACTTGAGTTTGTGGTGTTTGTTGAACTTGAGTTTGTGTGGTTGTTAAACTTGACGTTGTGGCAATTGTAAAACTTGAGATTTGGTTGTTGGTTGAACTATAGTTTGTGTCATGTTTGAACCTGAGTGTGTTTCATGTTTGAACTTGAGTTTGTGGTGTTTGTTGAACTTGAGTTTGTGTCGTGTTTGCACATGAGTTAATGGTGTTTTTGAACTTGATTTTGTGTCTTTGTTGAACTTGAGTTTGTGGTTTTTTTTTAACTTTAGTTGGTGGTGTTTTTGAACTTGAGTTTCGTGTTTGAACTTGAGTTTGTGTCGTGTTTGCACTTGAGTTAATGGTGTTTTTGAACTTGATTTTGTGTCTTTGTTGAACTTCAGTTTGTGGTCTTTTTGAACTTTAGTTGGTGGTGTTTTTGAACTTGAGTTTCGTGTTTGAACTTGAGTTTGTGTCGTGTTTGCACTTGAGTTTGTGTTGTGTTTGAACTTGATTTTGATTGTTTGTTGAACTTGAGTTTGTGGTTTTTGTTGAACTTGAGTTGGTGGTGTTTTTGAACTTGAGTTTCGTGTTTGAACTTGAGTTTGTGGTTTTTGTTGAACTTGAGTTTGTGTTGTGTTTGAATTTGAGTTTGTGGTGTTTTTGAACTTGAGTTTGTGGTTTTTTTTAAGTTGAGGGTGTGGAATTTGTTGAACTTGAGGTTGTGGCAATTGTAAAACTTGACTTTCTGTTTTGGTTGAACTTGTTTGTGTCGTGTTTGAACTTAAGTTTTTGTGTTTGTTGAACGTAAGTTTGTGATGTTTTTGAACATGAGTTTGTTTCATTTTTGAACTTGAGTTTGTGGTGTTTGTTGAACTTGAGTTTGTGGGGTTTGTTAAACTTGACGTTGTGGCAATTGTAAAACTTGAGATTTGGTTGTTGGTTGAACTATAGTTTGTGTCATGTTTGAACCTGAGTGTGTTTCATGTTTGAACTTGAGTTTGTGGTGTTTGTTGAACTTGAGTTTGTGTCGTGTTTGCAATTGAGTTTGTGGTGTTTTTGAACTTGAGTTTGTGTGTTTGTTGAACTTGAGTTTGTGTTGTGTTTGAACTTGAGTTTGTAGTGTTTGTTGAACTAGAGTTTGTGTCGTGTTTGCACTTGAGTTTGTGGTGTTTTTGAACTTGATTTTGTGTCTTTGTTGAACTTGAGTTTGTGGTCTTTTTGAACTTTAGTTGGTGGTGTTTTTGAACTTGAGTTTCGTGTTTGAACCTGAGTTTGTGGTTTTTGTTGAACTTGAATTCATGTCGTGTTTTAACTTGAGTTTGTGTGTTTTTTTAACTTAAGTTTGTGTTGTGTTTGAACTTGAGTTTGTGGTGTTTGTTGAACTAGAGTTTGTGTCGTGTTTGCACTTGAGTTTGTGGCGTTTTTGAACTTGATTTTGTGTGTTTGTTGAACTTGAGTTTGTGGTCATTTTGAACTTGAGTTGGTGGTGTTTTTGAACTTGAGTTTCGTGTTTGAACTTGAGTTTGTGGTGTTTGTTGAACTGGAGTTTGTGTCGTGTTTGCACTTGAGTTTGTGTTGTGTTTGAACTTTATTTTGTTTGTTTGTTGAACTTGAGTTTGTGAAATTTGTTGAACTTGAGTTGGTGGTGTTTCTGAACTTGAGTTTCGTGTTTGAACTTGAGTTTGTGGTTTTTGTTGAACTTGAGTTTGTGTTGTGTTTGAACTTGAGTTTGTGGTGTTTTTGAACTTGAGTTTGTGGTTTTTTTGAAGTTGAGGGTATGGAATTTGTTGAACTTGAGGTTGTGGCAATTGTAAAATTTGACTTTCTGTTTTGGTTGAACTTGTTTGTGTCGCGTTTGAACTTACGTTTTTGTGTTTGTTGAACGTAAGATTGTGATGTTTTTGAACATGAGTTTGTTTCATTTTTGAACTTGAGTTTGTGTGGTTGTTAAACTTGATGTTGTGGCAATTGTAAAACTTGAGATTTGGTTGTTGGTTGAACTATAGTTTGTGTCATGTTTGAACTTGAGTGTGTTTCGTGTTTGAACTTGAGTTTGTGGTGTTTGTTGAACTTGAGTTTGTGTCGTGTTTGCAAATGAGTTTGTGGTGTTTTTGAACTTGACTTTGTGTGTTTGTTGAACTTGAGTTTGTGTTGTGTTTGAACTTGAGTTTGTGGTGTTTGTTGAACTTGAGTTTGTGTCGTGTTTGCACTTGAGTTAATGGTGTTTTTGAACTTGATTTTGTGTCTTTGTTGAACTTGAGTTTGGGGTCTTTTTGAACTTTAGTTGGTGGTGTTTTTGAACTTGAGTTTCGTGTTTGAACTTGAGTTTGTGGTTTTTGTTGAACTTGAGTTCGTGTCGTGTTTTAACTTGAGTTGGTGGTGTTTTTTTAACTTAAGTTTTAGAAGATGATCTCGGTGCAAAAATGCAGGAATGAACTACACAAAGACAGAGTCAAGCTGGCAGCCACTCGCGGGATTTTATTCTGGTCACAGCATCAAACACAGCTCATGACAATCGAACAGACAGAACCCAGAACAGAAAACCTACAGACCTCTTATAGTACTCCATTGACGTCACTGATCCCGACTTTTGCCAAATGTGTGTGCGAAGCTACCTTCGTGTGTGTGTCATTTTCCTGTGGAAGAGCTCCCTACGTGACTTTCCCTGCCATTATCTCTGAAGCCAGATTTCCTGTTATTGTAATTACAGTTCACCATGACCTGATATGAAGTTTATCCCAATGTGACCTCTCCACCCATATCCTGTTTTCTTGCCTCATGGTAACCTCCAACACATCCAAAACATAGCTATTATTTTCTCCCACAAAGTTTGTGTTATGTTTGAACTTGAGTTTGTGGTGTTTGTTGAACTTGAGTTTGTGTCGTGTTTAAACTTGAGTTTGTGGTGTTTTTGAACTTGATTTTGTGTGTTTGTTGAACTTGAGTTTGTGGTCATTTTGAACTTGAGTTGGTGGTGTTTTTGAACTTGAGTTTTGTGTTTGAACTTGAGTTTGTGGTGTTTGTTGAACTCGAGTTTGTGTCGTGTTTGCACTTGAGTTTGTGTTGTGTTTGAACTTTATTTTGTTTGTTTGTTGAACTTGAGTTTGTGAAATTTTTTGAACTTGAGTTGGTGGTGTTTCTGAACTTGAGTTTCGTGTTTGAACTTGAGTTTGTGGTGTTTGTTGAACTTGAGTTTGTGTCGTGTTTGCTCTTGAGTTTGTGGTGTTTTTTAACTTGATTTTGTGTGTTTGTTGAACTTGAGTTTGTGTTCTTTTTGAACTTGAGTTGGTAGTGTTTTTGAACTTGAGTTTCGTGTTTGAACTTGAGTTTGTGGTTTTTGTTGAACTTGAGTTTGTGTCGTGTTTGCAATTGAGTTTGTGGTGTTTTTGAACTTGAGTTTGTGTGTTTTTTGAACTTAAGTTTGTGTTGTGTTTGAACTTGAGTTTGTGGTGTTTTTTGAACTTGAGTTTGTGTCGTTTTTGCACTTGAGTTTGTGGTGTTTTTGAACTTAATTTTGTGTGTTTTTTGAATTTGAGTTTGTGGTGTTTTTGAACTTGAGTTGGTGGTGTTTTTGAACTTGAGTTTCATGTTTGAACTTGAGTTTGTGGTTTTTGTTGAACTTGAGTTTGTGTCCTGTTTGAATTTAAGTTTGTTTGTTTGTTTAACTTGAGTTTGTGGCATGTTTTAACTTGAGTTTGTGCTGTTTTTGAACTTGAATTTGTGTGTTTTTTTAACTTGAGTTTTTGGTGTTTTTGAACTTGAGTTTGTGTGTTTTTTGAACTTGAGTTTGTGGCAATTGTTAAACTTGAGTTTATGTGTTTTTTGAACTTGAGTTTGTGGTGTTTTTGAACTTAAGTTTGTGGCAATTGTTAAATTTGAGATTTGGGTGTTGGTTGAACTTGAGTTTATGGTGTTTTTGAACTTGAGTTTATGTGTTTGTTGAACTTGAGTTTGTGTCGTGTTTGCAATTGAGTTTGTGGTGTTTTTGAACTTGAGTTTGTGTGTTTGTTGAACTTGAGTTTGTGTTGTGTTTGAACTTGAGTTTGTGGTGTTTGTTGGACTTGAGTTTGTGTCGTGTTTGCACTTGAGTTGGTGGTGTTTTTGAACTTGACTTTGTGTGTTTGTTGAACTTGAGTTTGTGTTGTGTTTGAACTTGAGTTTGTGGTGTTTGTTGAACTTGAGTTTGTGTCGTGTTTGCACTTGAGTTAATGGTGTTTTTGAACTTGATTTTGTGTCTTTGTTGAACTTGATTTTGGGGTCTTTTTGAACTTTAGTTGGTGGTGTTTTTGAACTTGAGTGTCGTGTTTGAACTTGAGTTTGTGGTTTTTGTTGAACTTGAGTTCGTTTCGTGTTTTAATTTGAGTTGGTGGTGTTTTTTTAACTTAAGTTTTAGAAGATGATCTCGGTGCAAAAATGCAGGAATGAACTACACAAAGACAGAGTCAAGCTGGCAGCCACTCGCGGGATTTTATTCTGGTCACAGCATCAAACACAGCTCATGACAATCGAACAGACAGAACCCAGAACAGAAAACCTACAGACCTCTTATAGTACTCCATTGACGTCACTGATCCCGACTTTTGCCAAATGTGTGTGCGAAGCTACCTTCGTGTGTGTGTCATTTTCCTGTGGAAGAGCTCCCTACGTGACTTTCCCTGCCATTATCTCTGAAGCCAGATTTCCTGTTATTGTAATTACAGTTCACCATGACCTGATATGAAGTTTATCCCAATGTGACCTCTCCACCCATATCCTGTTTTCTTGCCTCATGGTAACCTCCAACACATCCAAAACATAGCTATTATTTTCTCCCACAAAGTTTGTGTTATGTTTGAACTTGAGTTTGTGGTGTTTGTTGAACTTGAGTTTGTGTCGTGTTTAAACTTGAGTTTGTGGTGTTTTTGAACTTGATTTTGTGTGTTTGTTGAACTTGAGTTTGTGGTCATTTTGAACTTGAGTTGGTGGTGTTTTTGAACTTGAGTTTTGTGTTTGAACTTGAGTTTGTGGTGTTTGTTGAACTCGAGTTTGTGTCGTGTTTGCACTTGAGTTTGTGTTGTGTTTGAACTTTATTTTGTTTGTTTGTTGAACTTGAGTTTGTGAAATTTTTTGAACTTGAGTTGGTGGTGTTTCTGAACTTGAGTTTCGTGTTTGAACTTGAGTTTGTGGTTTTTGTTGAACTTGAGTTTGTGTTGTGTTTAAACTTGAGTTTGTGGTGTTTTTGAACTTGAGTTTGTGGTTTTTTTGAAGTTGAGGGTATGGAATTTGTTGAACTTGAGGTTGTGGCAATTGTAAAATTTGACTTTCTGTTTTGTTTGAACTTGTTTGTGTCGCGTTTGAACTTACGTTTTTGTGTTTGTTGAACGTAAGATTGTGATGTTTTTGAACATGAGTTTGTTTCATTTTTGAACTTGAGTTTGTGTGGTTGTTGAACTTGATGTTGTGGCAATTGTAAAACTTGAGATTTGGTTGTTGGTTGAACTATAGTTTGTGTCATGTTTGAACTTGAGTGTGTTTCGTGTGTTTGAACTTGAGTTTGTGGTGTTTGTTGAACTTGAGTTTGTGTCGTGTTTGCAAATGAGTTTGTGGTGTTTTTGAACTTGACTTTGTGTGTTTGTTGAACTTGAGTTTGTGTTGTGTTTGAACTTGAGTTTGTGGTGTTTGTTGAACTTGAGTTTGTGTCGTGTTTGCACTTGAGTTAATGGTGTTTTTGAACTTGATTTTGTGTCTTTGTTGAACTTGAGTTTGGGGTCTTTTTGAACTTTAGTTGGTGGTGTTTTTGAACTTGAGTTTCGTGTTTGAACTTGAGTTTGTGGTTTTTGTTGAACTTGAGTTCGTGTCGTGTTTTAACTTGAGTTGGTGGTGTTTTTTTAACTTAAGTTTTAGAAGATGATCTCGGTGCAAAAATGCAGGAATGAACTACACAAAGACAGAGTCAAGCTGGCAGCCACTCGTGGGATTTTATTCTGGTCACAGCATCAAACACAGCTCATGACAATCGAACAGACAGAACCCAGAACAGAAAACCTACAGACCTCTTATAGTACTCCATTGACGTCACTGATCCCGACTTTTGCCAAATGTGTGTGCGAAGCTACTTCGTGTGTGTGTCATTTTCCTGTGGAAGAGCTCCCTACGTGACTTTCCCTGCCATTATCTCTGAAGCCAGATTTCCTGTTATTGTAATTACAGTTCACCATGACCTGATATGAAGTTTATCCCAATGTGACCTCTCCACCCATATCCTGTTTTCTTGCCTCATGGTAACCTCCAACACATCCAAAACATAGCTATTATTTTCTCCCACAAAGTTTGTGTTGTGTTTGAACTTGAGTTTGTGGTGTTTGTTGAACTTGAGTTTGTGTCGTGTTTGCACTTGAGTTTGTGGTGTTTTTGAACTTGATTTTGTGTGTTTGTTGAACTTGAGTTTGTGGTCTTTTTGAACTTTAGTTGGTGGTGTTTTTGAACTTGAGTTTCGTGTTTGAACCTGAGTTTGTGGTTTTTGTTGAACTTGAATTCATGTCGTGTTTTAACTTGAGTTTGTGTGTTTTTTTAACTTAAGTTTGTGTTGTGTTTGAACTTGAGTTTGTGGTGTTTGTTGAACTTGAGTTTGTGTCGTGTTTGCACTTGAGTTTGTGGTGTTTTTGAACTTGATTTTGTGTGTTTGTTGAACTTGAGTTTGTGGTCATTTTGAACTTGAGTTGGTGGTGTTTTTGAACTTGAGTTTCGTGTTTGAACTTGAGTTTGTGGTGTTTGTTGAACTTGAGTTTGTGTCGTGTTTGCACTTGAGTTTGTGTTGTGTTTGAACTTTATTTTGTTTGTTTGTTGAACTTGAGTTTGTGAAATTTTTTGAACTTGAGTTGGTGGTGTTTCTGAACTTGAGTTTCGTGTTTGAACTTGAGTTTGTGGTGTTTGTTGAACTTGAGTTTGTGTTGTGTTTGAACTTGAGTTTGTGGTGTTTTTGAACTTGAGTTTGTGGTTTTTTTGAAGTTGAGGGTATGGAATTTGTTGAACTTGAGGTTGTGGCAATTGTAAAATTTGACTTTCTGTTTTGGTTGAACTTGTTTGTGTCGCGTTTGAACTTACGTTTTTGTGTTTGTTGAACGTAAGATTGTGATGTTTTTGAACATGAGTTTGTTTCATTTTTGAACTTGAGTTTGTGTGGTTGTTAAACTTGATGTTGTGGCAATTGTAAAACTTGAGATTTGGTTGTTGGTTGAACTATAGTTTGTGTCATGTTTGAACTTGAGTGTGTTTCGTGTTTGAACTTGAGTTTGTGGTGTTTGTTGAACTTGAGTTTGTGTCGTGTTTGCAAATGAGTTTGTGGTGTTTTTGAACTTGACTTTGTGTGTTTGTTGAACTTGAGTTTGTGTTGTGTTTGAACTTGAGTTTGTGGTGTTTGTTGAACTTGAGTTTGTGTCGTGTTTGCACTTGAGTTAATGGTGTTTTTGAACTTGATTTTGTGTCTTTGTTGAACTTGAGTTTGGGGTCTTTTTGAACTTTAGTTGGTGGTGTTTTTGAACTTGAGTTTCGTGTTTGAACTTGAGTTTGTGGTTTTTGTTGAACTTGAGTTCGTGTCGTGTTTTAACTTGAGTTGGTGGTGTTTTTTTAACTTAAGTTTTAGAAGATGATCTCGGTGCAAAAATGCAGGAATGAACTACACAAAGACAGAGTCAAGCTGGCAGCCACTCGTGGGATTTTATTCTGGTCACAGCATCAAACACAGCTCATGACAATCGAACAGACAGAACCCAGAACAGAAAACCTACAGACCTCTTATAGTACTCCATTGACGTCACTGATCCCGACTTTTGCCAAATGTGTGTGCGAAGCTACCTTCGTGTGTGTGTCATTTTCCTGTGGAAGAGCTCCCTACGTGACTTTCCCTGCCATTATCTCTGAAGCCAGATTTCCTGTTATTGTAATTACAGTTCACCATGACCTGATATGAAGTTTATCCCAATGTGACCTCTCCACCCATATCCTGTTTTCTTGCCTCATGGTAACCTCCAACACATCCAAAACATAGCTATTATTTTCTCCCACAAAGTTTGTGTTATGTTTGAACTTGAGTTTGTGGTGTTTGTTGAACTTGAGTTTGTGTCGTGTTTAAACTTGAGTTTGTGGTGTTTTTGAACTTGATTTTGTGTGTTTGTTGAACTTGAGTTTGTGGTCATTTTGAACTTGAGTTGGTGGTGTTTTTGAACTTGAGTTTTGTGTTTGAACTTGAGTTTGTGGTGTTTGTTGAACTCGAGTTTGTGTCGTGTTTGCACTTGAGTTTGTGTTGTGTTTGAACTTTATTTTGTTTGTTTGTTGAACTTGAGTTTGTGAAATTTTTTGAACTTGAGTCGGTGGTGTTTCTGAACTTGAGTTTCGTGTTTGAACTTGAGTTTGTGGTGTTTGTTGAACTTGAGTTTGTGTCGTGTTTGCTCTTGAGTTTGTGGTGTTTTTTAACTTGATTTTGTGTGTTTGTTGAACTTGAGTTTGTGTTCTTTTTGAACTTGAGTTGGTAGTGTTTTTGAACTTGAGTTTCGTGTTTGAACTTGAGTTTGTGGTTTTTGTTGAACTTGAGTTTGTGTCGTGTTTGCAATTGAGTTTGTGGTGTTTTTGAACTTGAGTTTGTGTGTTTTTTGAACTTTAGTTTGTGTTGTGTTTGAACTTGAGTTTGTGGTGTTTTTTGAACTTGAGTTTGTGTTGTTTTTGCACTTGAGTTTGTGGTGTTTTTGAACTTGATTTTGTGTGTTTTTTGAATTTGAGTTTGTGGTGTTTTTGAACTTGAGTTGGTGGTGTTTTTGAACTTGAGTTTCATGTTTGAACTTGAGTTTGTGGTTTTTGTTGAACTTGAGTTTGTGTCCTGTTTGAATTTAAGTTTGTTTGTTTGTTTAACTTGAGTTTGTGGCATGTTTTAACTTGAGTTTGTGCTGTTTTTGAACTTGAATTTGTGTGTTTTTTTAACTTGAGTTTTTGGTGTTTTTGAACTTGAGTTTGTGTGTTTTTTGAACTTGAGTTTGTGGCAATTGTTAAACTTGAGTTTATGTGTTTTTTGAACTTGAGTTTGTGGTGTTTTTGAACTTAAGTTTGTGGCAATTGTTAAATTTGAGATTTGGGTGTTGGTTGAACTTGAGTTTATGGTGTTTTTGAACTTGAGTTTATGTGTTTGTTGAACTTGAGTTTGTGTCGTGTTTGCAATTGAGTTTGTGGTGTTTTTGAACTTGAGTTTGTGTGTTTGTTGAACTTGAGTTTGTGTTGTGTTTGAACTTGAGTTTGTGGTGTTTGTTGGACTTGAGTTTGTGTCGTGTTTGCACTTGAGTTGGTGGTGTTTTTGAACTTGACTTTGTGTGTTTGTTGAACTTGAGTTTGTGTTGTGTTTGAACTTGAGTTTGTGGTGTTTGTTGAACTTGAGTTTGTGTCGTGTTTGCACTTGAGTTAATGGTGTTTTTGAACTTGATTTTGTGTCTTTGTTGAACTTGATTTTGGGGTCTTTTTGAACTTTAGTTGGTGGTGTTTTTGAACTTGAGTTTCGTGTTTGAACTTGAGTTTGTGGTTTTTGTTGAACTTGAGTTCGTTTCGTGTTTTAATTTGAGTTGGTGGTGTTTTTTTAACTTAAGTTTTAGAAGATGATCTCGGTGCAAAAATGCAGGAATGAACTACACAAAGACAGAGTCAAGCTGGCAGCCACTCGTGGGATTTTATTCTGGTCACAGCATCAAACACAGCTCATGACAATCGAACAGACAGAACCCAGAACAGAAAACCTACAGACCTCTTATAGTACTCCATTGACGTCACTGATCCCGACTTTTGCCAAATGTGTGTGCGAAGCTACCTTCGTGTGTGTGTCATTTTCCTGTGGAAGAGCTCCCTACGTGACTTTCCCTGCCATTATCTCTGAAGCCAGATTTCCTGTTATTGTAATTACAGTTCACCATGACCTGATATGAAGTTTATCCCAATGTGACCTCTCCACCCATATCCTGTTTTCTTGCCTCATGGTAACCTCCAACACATCCAAAACATAGCTATTATTTTCTCCCACAAAGTTTGTGTTATGTTTGAACTTGAGTTTGTGGTGTTTGTTGAACTTGAGTTTGTGTCGTGTTTAAACTTGAGTTTGTGGTGTTTTTGAACTTGATTTTGTGTGTTTGTTGAACTTGAGTTTGTGGTCATTTTGAACTTGAGTTGGTGGTGTTTTTGAACTTGAGTTTTGTGTTTGAACTTGAGTTTGTGGTGTTTGTTGAACTCGAGTTTGTGTCGTGTTTGCACTTGAGTTTGTGTTGTGTTTGAACTTTATTTTGTTTGTTTGTTGAACTTGAGTTTGTGAAATTTTTTGAACTTGAGTTGGTGGTGTTTCTGAACTTGAGTTTCGTGTTTGAACTTGAGTTTGTGGTTTTTGTTGAACTTGAGTTTGTGTTGTGTTTAAACTTGAGTTTGTGGTGTTTTTGAACTTGAGTTTGTGGTTTTTTTGAAGTTGAGGGTATGGAATTTGTTGAACTTGAGGTTGTGGCAATTGTAAAATTTGACTTTCTGTTTTGTTTGAACTTGTTTGTGTCGCGTTTGAACTTACGTTTTTGTGTTTGTTGAACGTAAGATTGTGATGTTTTTGAACATGAGTTTGTTTCATTTTTGAACTTGAGTTTGTGTGGTTGTTGAACTTGATGTTGTGGCAATTGTAAAACTTGAGATTTGGTTGTTGGTTGAACTATAGTTTGTGTCATGTTTGAACTTGAGTGTGTTTGTGTTTGAACTTGAGTTTGTGGTGTTTGTTGAACTTGAGTTTGTGTCGTGTTTGCAAATGAGTTTGTGGTGTTTTTGAACTTGACTTTGTGTGTTTGTTGAACTTGAGTTTGTGTTGTGTTTGAACTTGAGTTTGTGGTGTTTGTTGAACTTGAGTTTGTGTCGTGTTTGCACTTGAGTTAATGGTGTTTTTGAACTTGATTTTGTGTCTTTGTTGAACTTGAGTTTGGGGTCTTTTTGAACTTTAGTTGGTGGTGTTTTTGAACTTGAGTTTCGTGTTTGAACTTGAGTTTGTGGTTTTTGTTGAACTTGAGTTCGTGTCGTGTTTTAACTTGAGTTGGTGGTGTTTTTTTAACTTAAGTTTTAGAAGATGATCTCGGTGCAAAAATGCAGGAATGAACTACACAAAGACAGAGTCAAGCTGGCAGCCACTCGTGGGATTTTATTCTGGTCACAGCATCAAACACAGCTCATGACAATCGAACAGACAGAACCCAGAACAGAAAACCTACAGACCTCTTATAGTACTCCATTGACGTCACTGATCCCGACTTTTGCCAAATGTGTGTGCGAAGCTACTTCGTGTGTGTGTCATTTTCCTGTGGAAGAGCTCCCTACGTGACTTTCCCTGCCATTATCTCTGAAGCCAGATTTCCTGTTATTGTAATTACAGTTCACCATGACCTGATATGAAGTTTATCCCAATGTGACCTCTCCACCCATATCCTGTTTTCTTGCCTCATGGTAACCTCCAACACATCCAAAACATAGCTATTATTTTCTCCCACAAAGTTTGTGTTGTGTTTGAACTTGAGTTTGTGGTGTTTGTTGAACTTGAGTTTGTGTCGTGTTTGCACTTGAGTTTGTGGTGTTTTTGAACTTGATTTTGTGTGTTTGTTGAACTTGAGTTTGTGGTCATTTTGAACTTGAGTTGGTGGTGTTTTTGAACTTGAGTTTGTCGTGTTTTTGAACTTGAGTTTGTGGTGTTTGTTGAACTCGAGTTTGTGTCGTGTTTGCACTTGAGTTTGTGTTGTGTTTGAACTTTATTTTGTTTGTTTGTTGAACTTGAGTTTGTGAAATTTTTTGAACTTGAGTTGGTGGTGTTTCTGAACTTGAGTTTCGTGTTTGAACTTGAGTTTGTGGTGTTTGTTGAACTTGAGTTTGTGTCGTGTTTGCTCTTGAGTTTGTGGTGTTTTTTAACTTGATTTTGTGTGTTTGTTGAACTTGAGTTTGTGGTCTTTTTGAACTTGAGTTGGTAGTGTTTTTGAACTTGAGTTTCGTGTTTGAACTTGAGTTTGTGGTTTTTGTTGAACTTGAGTTTGTGTCGTGTTTGCAATTGAGTTTGTGGTGTTTTTGAACTTGAGTTTGTGTGTTTTTTGAACTTTAGTTTGTGTTGTGTTTGAACTTGAGTTTGTGGTGTTTTTGAACTTAATTTTGTGTGTTTTTTGAATTTGAGTTTGTGGTGTTTTTGAACTTGAGTTGGTGGTGTTTTTGAACTTGAGTTTCATGTTTGAACTTGAGTTTGTGGTTTTTGTTGAACTTGAGTTTGTGTCCTGTTTGAATTTAAGTTTGTTTGTTTGTCTAACTTGAGTTTGTGGCGTGTTTTAACTAGAATTTTTGTTGTTTTTTAACTTGAGGTTTTGGCAATTGTTAATCTTTAGATTTGGGTGTTTGTTGAACTTGACTTTGTGGTGTTCATTTAACTTGAGTTTGTGTCTTGTTTGAACTTGACTTCTTGGTGTTTTTGAACTTGATTTTGTGTGTTTTGAACTTGAGTTTTTGGTGTTTTTGAACTTGAGTTTGTGTGTTTTTTGAACTTAAGTTTGTGGCAATTGTTACACCTGAGATTTGTGTGTTTGTTGAACTTGAGTTTGTGGTGTTTTTGAACTTGAGTTTGTGGCGTGTTTTAACTTGAATTTTTGTTGTTTTTTAACTTAAGGTTTTGGCAATTGTTAATCTTTAGATTTTGGTGTTTGTTGAACTTGAGTTTGTGGTGTTCATTTAACTTGAGTTTGGGTCTTGTTTGAACTTGACTTTTTGGTGTTTTTGAACTTGAGTTTGTGTGTTTTTTGAACTTGAGTTTGTGGCAATTGTTAAACTTGAGTTTGTGTGTTTTTTGAACTTGAGTTTGTGTGTTTTTTGAACTTGAGTTTGTGGCAATTGTTAAATTTGAGTTTGTGTGTTTTTTGAACTTGAGTTTGTGGTGTTTTTGAACTTGAGTTTATGTGTTTGTTGAACTTGAGTTTGTGTCGTGTTTGAAATTGAGTTTGTGGTGTTTTTGAACTTGAGTTTGTGTGTTTGTTGAACTTGAGTTTGTGTTGTGTTTGAACTTGAGTTTGTGGTGTTTGTTGAACATGAGTTTGTGTCGTGTTTGCACTTGAGTTTGTGGTGTTTTTGAACTTGATTTTGTGTCTTTGTTGAACTTGAGTTTGTGGCAATTGTTAAATTTGAGATTTGGGTGTTGGTTGAACTTGAGTTTATGGTGTTTTTGAACTTGAGTTTATGTGTTTGTTGAACTTGAGTTTGTGTCGTGTTTGCAATTGAGTTTGTGGTGTTTTTGAACTTGAGTTTGTGTGTTTGTTGAACTTGAGTTTGTGTTGTGTTTGAACTTGAGTTTGTGGTGTTTGTTGAACATGAGTTTGTGTCGTGTTTGCACTTGAGTTTGTGGTGTTTTTGAACTTGATTTTGTGTCTTTGTTGAACTTGAGTTTGTGGTCTTTTTGAACTTTAGTTGGTGGTGTTTTTGAACTTGAGTTTGTGGTGTTTGTTGAACATGAGTTTGTGTCGTGTTTGCACTTGAGTTTGTGGTGTTTTTGAACTTGATTTTGTGTCTTTGTTGAACTTGAGTTTGTGGTCTTTGAACTTTAGTTGGTGGTGTTTTTGAACTTGAGTTTTGTGTTTGAACTTGAGTTTTTGGTTTTTGTTGAACTTGAGTTCGTGGTGTGTTTTAACTTGAGTTTGTGTGTTTTTTTAACTTAAGTTTGTGTTGTGTTTGAACTTGAGTTTGTGGTGTTTGTTGAACTAGAGTTTGTGTCGTGTTTGCACTTGAGTTTGTGGTGTTTTTGAACTTGATTTTGTGTGTTTGTTGAACTTGAGTTTGTGGTCATTTTGAACTTGAGTTGGTGGTGTTTTTGAACTTGAGTTTCGTGTTTGAACTTGAGTTTGTGGTGTTTGTTGAACTTGAGTTTGTGTCGTGTTTGCACTTGAGTTTGTGTTGTGTTTGAACTTTATTTTGTTTGTTTGTTGAACTTGAGTTTGTGTCGTGTTTGCAATTGAGTTTGTGGTGTTTTTGAACTTGAGTTTGTGTGTTTTTTTAACTTTAGTTTGTGTTGTGTTTGAACTTGAGTTTTCTGGTGTTTTTGAACTTAATTTTGTGTGTTTTTTGAATTTGAGTTTGTGGTGTTTTTGAACTTGAGTTGGTGGTGTTTTTGAACTTGAGTTTCATGTTTGAACTTGAGTTTGTGTCCTGTTTGAATTTAAGTTTGTTTGTTTGTCTAACTTGAGTTTGTGGCGTGTTTTAACTAGAATTTTTGTTGTTTTTTAACTTGAGGTTTTGGCAATTGTTAATCTTTAGATTTGGGTGTTTGTTGAACTTGACTTTGTGGTGTTCATTTAACTTGAGTATGTGTCTTGTTTGAACTTGACTTCTTGGTATTTTTGAACTTGATTTTGTGTGTTTTGAACTTGAGTTTTTGGTGTTTTTGAACTTGAGTTTGTGTGTTTTTTGAACTTGAGTTTGTGGCAATTGTTAAACTTGAGTTTGTGTGTTTTTTGAACTTGAGTTTGTGTGTTTTTTGAACTTGAGTTTGTGGCAATTGTTAAATTTGAGTTTGTGTGTTTTTTGAACTTGAGTTTGTGGTGTTTGTTGAACTTGAGTTTATGTGTTTGTTGAACTTGAGTTTGTGTCGTGTTTGCAATTGAGTTTGTGGTGTTTTTGAACTTGAGTTTGTGTGTTTGTTGAACTTGAGTTTGTGTTGTGTTTTAACTTGAGTTTGAGGTGTTTGTTGAACATGAGTTTGTGTCGTGTTTGCACTTGAGTTTGTGGTGTTTTTGAACTTGATTTTGTGTCTTTGTTGAACTTGAGTTTGTGGCAATTGTTAAATTTGAGATTTGGGTGTTGGTTGAACTTGAGTTTATGGTGTTTTTGAACTTGAGTTTATGTGTTTGTTGAACTTGAGTTTGTGTCGTGTTTGCAATTGAGTTTGTGGTGTTTTTGAACTTGAGTTTGTGTGTTTGTTGAACTTGAGTTTGTGTTGTGTTTGAACTTGAGTTTGTGGTGTTTGTTGAACATGAGTTTGTGTCGTGTTTGCACTTGAGTTTGTGGTGTTTTTGAACTTGATTTTGTGTCTTTGTTGAACTTGAGTTTGTGGTCTTTTTGAACTTTAGTTGGTGGTGTTTTTAAACTTGAGTTTGTGGTGTTTGTTGAACATGAGTTTGTGTCGTGTTTGCACTTGAGTTTGTGGTGTTTTTGAACTTGATTTTGTGTCTTTGTTGAACTTGAGTTTGTGGTCTTTTTGAACTTTAGTTGGTGGTGTTTTTGAACTTGAGTTTCGTGTTTGAACTTGAGTTTTTGGTTTTTGTTGAACTTGAGTTCGTGGTGTGTTTTAACTTGAGTTTGTGTGTTTTTTTAACTTAAGTTTGTGTTGTGTTTGAACTTGAGTTTGTGGTGTTTGTTGAACTAGAGTTTGTGTCGTGTTTGCACTTGAGTTTGTGGTGTTTTTGAACTTGATTTTGTGTGTTTGTTGAACTTGAGTTTGTGGTCATTTTGAACTTGAGTTGGTGGTGTTTTTGAACTTGAGTTTCGTGTTTGAACTTGAGTTTGTGGTGTTTGTTGAACTTGAGTTTGTGTCGTGTTTGCACTTGAGTTTGTGTTGTGTTTGAACTTTATTTTGTTTGTTTGTTGAACTTGAGTTTGTGAAATTTGTTGAACTTGAGTTGGTGGTGTTTCTGAACTTGAGTTTCGTGTTTGAACTTGAGTTTGTGGTTTTTGTTGAACTTGAGTTTGTGTTGTGTTTGAACTTGAGTTTGTGGTGTTTTTGAACTTGAGTTTGTGGTTTTTTGAAGTTGAGGGTGTGGAATTTGTTGAACTTGAGGTTGTGGCAATTGTAAAATTTGACTTTCTGTTTTGGTTGAACTTGTTTGTGTCGTATTTTTAACTTAAGTTTTTGTGTTTGTTGAACGTACGTTTGTGATGTTTTTGAACATGAGTTTGTGGCATTTGTTGAACTTGAGTTTGTGTGGTTGTTGAACTTAAGGTTGTGGCAATTGTTAAACTTGAGATTTGGTGTTGATTTAACTATAGTTTGTGTAGTGTTTGAACTTGAGTTTGTTTCTTGTTTGAACTTGAGTCTGTGGTTTTTGTTGAACTTGAGTTTGTGTCGTGTTTGAACTTGATTTTTTGGTGTTTTTGAACTTGAGTTTGTGTTGTGTTTGAACTTGAGTTTGTGTCGTGTTATTGAACTTGAGTTTGTTTTGGATTTGAACTTGAGTTTGTGGCGTTTGTTGAACTTGATTTTGTGTGGTTGTTGAACTTAAGGTTGTGGCAATTGTTTAACCTGAGATTTGGTTGTTGATTAAACTATAGTTTGTGTCGTGTTTGAACTTGAGTTTGTTACGTGTTTGAACTTGAGTTTGTGGTTTTTGATGAACTTGAGTTTGTGTCGTGTCTGAACTTGATTTTTTGGTGTTTTTGAACTTGAGTTTGTGTTGTGTTTGAACTTGAGTTTGTGTCGTGTTATTGAACTTGAGATTGTTTCGGATTTGAACTTGAGTTTGTCGCGTTTGTTGAACTTGAGTTTGTGTGTTTGTTGAACTCGATTTTGTGTCATATTTGAACTTCAGTATTTGGTGTTTTAAACTTGAGTCAGTGTTGTTTTTGAACTTGAGATTTGGTTGTTGGTTGAACTTGAGTTTGTGTCGTGTTTGAACATGAGTTCGTGTTGTTTGTTGAACTTGAGTTTGTGTAATTTTTGAAGTTGAGGATGTGAAAATTTTTAAATTTGAGAATCAGGTGTTGGTTGAACTTTAGATTGTGTTTTTTGTTAAACTTGAGTATTTGGTGTTTTTGATCTTAAGTTTGTGGTTTTTTTTAACTTGAGTCTGTGTTGTTTTTGAACTTGATGTTGTGAAAATTGTTAAACTTGAGAAATGGGTATTGGTTGAACTTAAGTTTTTGGTGTTTTTGAACTTGAGTTTGTGTCGTATTTGAACTTGAGTTTGTGGTGTTTATAACTTGAATTTGCGTGTTTGGTGAAGTTGAGTCTGTGTTTTTTTTAACTTGAGTTTCTCTATTTTTTGAAATAGAGGTTGTGGAAATTGTTAAACCTGATAATCAGGTGTTGGTTAAATTTGAGTGTGTGTGTGTTGAATTTGAGTTTGTGTGTTTGTTGAACTTGAGTTTGTGTTGTGTTTGAACATGAGTTTGTGGTGTTTGTTGAACTTGAGTTTGTTTGTTTGTTGAACTTGAGTTTGTGTTGTATTTGAACATGAGTTTGTGGTGTTTTCGAACT